CGGGGCGGGCCGGGGCTGCAGCCGATCGGGAACACCTGTGGCACTGGGGCTGCAGCGCCGCCTGGTGGGTTCCGAGCGGTGCTGTGGGCTGCGCGAGTAGGGAGGGCGCCGCCTGGCGAGTTCCAACCGGTACTGCAGGGGCGAGAATGGCATCCCAACAGGTACAGCGGCCGGGGGGCGTCCCGAAGGCTCTCCCTGTGAAATTCTGCCCGATCCTCTTCCTGCTGAGCACAGCCCATCCGTCCACGACCCCGGCCCAGCGCTGCCCGCTTGCCGCCTGCAGGAGCAGAGCAGCAGAGCCTGACGCACCAGGGAAAGGCCAAGAGCTCCCTCCCGCCCGGGGAAGCTCTCACTGCACGTGCTGCGGGGGACACGCCTCTTGTTTCTCCTCTTTGCTGAGGGGCCCTGAGCCAGAGAGCGGACTTGGTGCAGACCATGGAAGTAATCGCCCATCCTGTATCCCAAACAGACCCCTCACCTCCCTGCACTGCAGGCAGAGCACACCCACTCCGTACCAGGTGCTGGCAGGTCACAGTGGCCAGGAGGTGACATGAGAGCTCCAAGGTTGTGTTGTTGGTCAGGACACATGTGGTGACCACACGTTGCCAAGAACAGACCTCGTGTAGCTGCACTTCGGGACTTGCTGGCTATGAGGGCCGCAGGGCATCCCCTGGTCCTTGGTGCCCTGCTATGCGGTACATTAGTTTTTTAAATTTCTAGTTTTTTTCACTGTATTTCTCCACACGAAATGGAAACATCCAGCAATGGCTGCACCGCAAAGGCATTTGTGAAACTACAGGACTAACGGGGCACTGCCCCAAGTGGGCACTGCCAAGGGAACAGGCAAGGCCTCAGCAGCACAGAGCAGGTCGCTGCTTTGTCACATCCCTCAGCTGCCCTGGCATTTCCTCACATTTTACTCCCACTACAGGCCTAAACATCGGCTCTGGTGCTGATAAAAGGTGCTCTTTGACAACTTTAAAGATGCAAGACTTTGTGGCACAACTAAAACCAGGCCCCAGCCAACCCTGTTTGGTTTTGGATCCCATGATGGCCTGCCCTCCCCCTCAGCCCCAGAGAACACAAGTCTGCACCATTTACCTCGCAAGCCAAGGCCCCAAGGCCTGAACACTGTGGGCCCCCAGCAGCGGCACAGGGGATCGAGCTCCTTCGGGCATCTTTGGTGCCAGCAGATCTTGTAGCTGTCGAAGCCGCTCCTCTGAGGACTTTTTGGTGACTCCAGATCTGGGGCTTCTACAGGATCCTGGTTTTTCATTCCAGTGTTTCAACTCACACAACTGCACCACTTTTCAGACACTTCCCACCTGCCATTTATCACGAAGTACTACAGCCAGAACGTGCCTTTGTAGGACACAGCAGAGAGCAGCTACCAGGAACTTCACCCAGAGCAGAATAGTTCCAGATTCCATGACTCAGCTATGCCTGATCTATGAGCAGTGTGAGAATAACCCTTTTACCAGCCTTTTTGGGTAACTGCTAACACAGGAAGTGGCAAAACAGGGACCATCACTTCTGCACTATCGAAAGCAAGCAGCCCTAAAGTGCAAAGCAAGCAATTCCAGTTCATTTTTTAAAGACAACTCAGCTCACAGTCCTCCCAGCACCACCACAACATCCACGGAAGCTGTATCCTGGAGCCAGATGCCACAGCATCTGCACGGCAGGGTGTGGAGAAATGCCACCTGGGACACCTCTGAGAGGAGTCCGTGTCCTCCCTGGACCACACGCATCCTGAGGTCAGAGAAGCCACCAAAGTCCAACACTTAAAGGTTCATCAGGCTGCGGTACTGTGGGTTCCCACTGTCACCGGCCTGGTCAGCACCAATGTTCTTACAAGCTTTCCTGTAAGCCAGGGGTGACAGTGCTCCACAGCACCTGCATGCAAGAGAATTAGGGACAGGGATAAATGCTGCAGACATCAGTAGTTTATTGGTATGTTTAGTCAAAACACATTCAGAATGGAAACTTAAAAAGTAAAAATACTTTCCACCTGCAACAATTAAACTAGAATCTACTAGCATATAATGCTTGACACGTTACAGCAATAAAGATGGTAATCCACTGTCTTGAATACCTACTAAAGCCAAGATGGTCAGCCAAGTTTGTTGAAATGGAACCGTAATGACAAAATACTCCCACCATTCACAAATCAGCAACTAACAGTTATGGTCAGTGAATCCCTTCCTTTGTTCTAAGAGATACATTTACTATCGAGAGGGTCGAGAACACGTAAGAGTCCACAGTACAGCAGGTGAGCTATCACCATGTAAACTTCTCTGGATGATGTTCCAAGGGTTCGTGTCACTTAAACAAGAAGCAAGCCAAAAAGCAGAACGGCTCAGTGGCTCTTTGTACTACTCTGTTTTTGTTCTTGATTATTTCCAGTGCCATTTACCATACGAATGAATTAGGTGGCAGCAAAACACCACAGCACTACAGAAGGAAAAAAACCTCCAGGCTACACAAACCACACTAGTGGCAAATTGCTAACTGGTAACAGCAATTTGTCCGAGGCTTCACACCTTAGGAGTGGAGTTGTGTGGCCAGCAGTTCAAGTACTACAGATTTCCAGGTAACAGCTGAAATTGTGAGACCTTCAACAAAAAACCTGAAATATGAAAATGCAAACCGGTAGAAATGCATCCCAGAAAAAAAAGCGTACGAAAATAGTGCAAGACTTACCATGGAACACAGACGACCTCAAGTCTGGCAGAGAACACACAGATGCCACTCCACCTTGCCTAGCGTAACAGAAAACATGTGCAAAATCCTCTAACTTACTGGAAACCAGCAAATGATTGCATAATCCAGAGACAGATTGCTAGGATGCCCTCTCTGCTTTTGCTTGAAATTGCCATTTTTGTATTTGAGGTCTCCCGTGCTCAGCAGCAGCAGCAGCTTCGAGTGGTCACACTTTCGCACAGACGCACCCCCCCTTTGCTCCCGACACCTCAGAGCCGGCGCTGGCCACGTGCCCTGACAGAGCCCAGCCGTGCCATCTGCTCCAGCCGTGCCATCTGCTCCAGCTGCACGGTACAGGAATGCGCTCCACAACGTTAGCCAGGAACACAGCTCTCCGCTGGAAAACCCACCAGTCCAACTGCAGAGGAGAGCTCTCCTTGCTATCCTTCGCTCCAGAGCCACATCGCTGTCAACTTCAGCTGAGAGTTATGTGCAACACGAGTACGAGTTTTTAAAAAAGTGCAGCTGGAAAATGTGAGAACTTAAGAGCTGCTGTTTAGTCCTCTGAAAATTGCAGTATCCCCGTTTTAGAAGCTCACCTGCACAAAGGATGCTCAGGTCTACCTACTAGGAGCTGGCCAGAAGCATCCACTGTTCTGGACTGACTTCTGCAATTCTTGTCCGAGAGAGATTGCAGCTCTGCTTCCTTTAACTCTGACACTGATTAAAGAGAAGAGACAACCTGCAGTCTATTCTGATGCCTTCTTCCTCCCTTCCCCCCCTCTGCAAAAACACAGGTGAACTTGTTAATTGAAGAGCAAGGTGGATGAGCATTTTAGCAATGTTTACTCATTGAAAGATACTGCAATTTTTTTTTTTAATACAATTCTCCAATTATTTCCTTTAAATGCTTTGCAGCCACTTGGCTTTGCAGCACAGTACTTCATACACTATACTGTACAAAATCACCAGCGAGACTGGAATGATGTATTCATAGAAGGCACCATCATGCTTATTACATTACCAGAGAACTCAAATACAGTCAAGACAAGTTTCACTGTACAACGCTTCTCGAAGGGGAAAGGGGAAGGAGGAGTGTGTTGAGCAGCCATCCCTGCACTGAAGAGGGGCAGATAGAAAAATCTGACGTGAGCTATCAAACTTGTTGCGTACTCAGGGTTACGACTCGGAAACTCTGGGTTCTGGTTAGTTTACAGCTAAATGGATTCCTTCTGGAACAAAGGTGTAGTCTCGTTAAGGTTTGTGTGTGTACAGAGGTTGGTCACAGCAAGCAGAGCGGACGCCCGCACCGTTCCCCAAGCTATTCTGTCTGAGTCAGAGGATGAAGGCTTTCCCTCCGATGCCTCCTGCAGCTGTCAGTATAAATGAGTTCAGAGGACCCATTAGTGCATTTTGATGAGTGCGTAAACACGAGTTGGTTTGGAGCCGAGTGTTCTAAGAAGGAAAAAAAAAAAGGCAAGCTTCTCCAATTGCACAAATTGCACTATTTGTGTTTCCAACAGTAGTAGGCAGAAACGGCAACACTTACACAAAATGTGCAGCAGAGGGTTTTGGACTGAAAGGACCTGAATTCTACTGGGCGTGTCCTTTAGTTCACTTTTGTTGCAGATAGTTAACCGGTCTTTTTTTCTTCTCTTTTTTTTCAGTCCTCAATTCTCCAAGTCTACATTTATAAATTAATAGTGTGACTCCTGTTGTGAAACTGGGGAAAGAACGTCCACCTCAATTTAAACTGGAAACCAAAGGATGCTTTCACATCAAAGAAATGATCAGAAGGGCTGTGTCACATTCCAAAGCCAAAAAAAATTAACAAGAATGCAAACACGATGGATAATGTACCACTGCCAAGACTGTCTGCCCCCAGTGGAGATTTCAGCGGCGCTGTCCAGTGAAACGGCCTTCCATCTGCCCGGTTCCTCGTCCGGAGCCGAGTTTCTGTGCCATGCCCCCCCTGGGGGGAGGTCCTCTTCCGTCCCGGTCTCTCATCATGCCGCCCCCCACGATTCCCCGGGGCCCGCCGGGGCCTCTGTCGTTGCGGCGGAGATCCCTGCGGTCGTCGCCCCCGCCGCGGGTCTCTCGCTCCCGAGCCGCTCTGGTTTTTTTCTCTTCCACGTTCAGGCGCACCTCGCCCCGGAACATAATGGGCTTATGGGGAAAAGGGGTCAAGGCACACGTTAGTCACCGCGTCACACGGGCCACCGACACGAGGCGCGCGACAGCTCTGCCCCGCCTGCACGCCTCGTGCCCGGCACGAACAGCGCCCGGTAAGGGATCCCTGCAGCACGCAGCCCGAGCCCTAAGCACCACCGTTCCTACATTCACTTGGCATGCAAGGAACAAAGTGTTTGTCTCAAGTAAGAGCAGGGTTGTCTTTAGCCTCCTTCACGCCCAGCTTTAGCCTTTTCCCTTCAGGGTTAAGCCTCCTGAAGAACTCTACCGGTCTCACTCTCACATCGTAGAAATGAAAACTGCTGCTTTCTCCTCTCCAGCTCCTCGAGTGAAAACTGTAAATAACCCTGCTCCTTTCTCTCAGCCCCAGAGTGCAGTGTTCAGACAGCCAGGTGATGCCCTTTGAAGGGTTACCTGCTCCACTTTCATCTCAGAAGGATCTCTAAGAGCAAGCGCTGAGCTCGGTGTGGTGTCTGTGTGTGGAGGTAAGAGACCCAAATTCATATGGTGCACTTTGAGGAACACTGGCACAGCTTTTGTGAGCTACGCAGCACTTCTGACACAATGAGTATGACAAAACTCTGGTTTTTCTTACGGCTGTTTTTTGAATGCCAGACCCAACCCCAATGTAATCTAGCATGGCCCACGTTACTTGGGGTTTGGGGCATTCGGTCCATCCCTGGAAGGGGAAACTCAAGGCCAATACTTACTTTTGCAACTAAAATTCGCTGGACCGGCTCAGAATCATCAAATACCACGAAACCAAAATTAGGCAGTTTTCCTCCCACTCCTTTAGTATTTATGCGAAGTTCTACCACATTTCCAAAGCCTGGGAAAACACAAAGGAAGAGGCACTTTACCAAAGCAGTGCCAGCTGTTCGAGTGCTCCGCTGGTTCCAGACCTCTGCAGTGCTGCCCTGTGTAAAGGCCTCCTCGAAGTCACTGCTCCGTGCCTTTTTAACACAGCTTTTCATCTCAGTCTCCGCAGCCAACATCACTACTTACTCATGAAGAACTCTTTCAGTTCACTCTCGTCGATGTCGTGCGGCAAGTTCCCCACAAAGAGCTGGTGGCTGTCCGGATAGCGGATTATCCGACGATTATCCGACTCGTTCTGTTCCATGTCCCCTCTCCCTGTGGTCAACAGAAGGAAGGTAGAATCACAGGGGTTAGGAGATGTGCGTAGCTTCGGATGAACACATCCACGGACAGCAGCAAGCACATTCACTCAAACCAGCCCGGACTCCACATTCCCTCATTTCTAATGGAAGGCAGCAGGAGCAGGCAGTTAGTTGTCAGCCACCTCTCATTAACTAGTCCCAAGCAGACACACAAGCTGATTCCACACTACCTGGTCGAGGTCCTCGGGGTGGGAAGCCTGGTCTTTCCCTGGGACGCTGTTCACGAACACGAGGAGGTTGAGACTGAGCTTCAGGTTTAGTTTCCACTCTTGGCTAAAACAGGAGAACGTGCGTTATTTAACACTGGCCCAATAAAAACCAACCCAAACCCCCAAGCTCACCAAAACAACCCCCCCCCACAACACAAGACATAGCTAAGTGGCATGCACAAAACAAATTCCAGAAGATATACATCCATGCCAGTGTGTTTGGGAGTATGTTTTTTTCACCTCTATAAATTCCTCTGTACCAATCCAGGACTGCAGTGTTCAGTTCTCTCTGCTAAAAGGTGCAAAGCAAACATCTCTCCAGCAGAGCATCTCCCTAGAATGTGGCTAAGGTGAATTTTCCAGGTTTGACCAGGCATTGAGACCCCAGCACTTCATTATTCACAAATCCCTCAACCTGACTTCAGTCACACAGGACATAAAGCTTCCTCGTGCCAAGCTCCAACTTCACAGATTAGGAGGCAGTCCAAGATAACCACCGAGAGATGGGAAAACCACATGTTTTTGTCCAGGTTCCTGAGGAATTCTCTTCCTCCAGGGCAGAACAACTATATGAAAACTACCAAAAAGAAAGAGGAGAATGAAAGAAAAGCCCTTGGAAGTGTAATAAGTATTTCTGATACAATAAAGCCACCTGAAATGACTACCCTGCCGAGGATACTGTTCAACCTTCCTGATGTAAAGACCACGATCCTCAAAGTACACCCTTCATATTCAGGTACTAAAACACCTACTCCATTTATTTTTTGCCAAAAATGCTTCTAATTTGAGAAATAGAGACAGAACAATAAAAAATATTTCTATGCAGACTGCTGGTCACTGAAGCAATTCTCAACATTTTTTAAGTTCCATTTTTTGTACAACAGTTAAGCGCTGCTGCTGTGGTGAGTTCTTATCTTAGGAAGCCAGAATTATCCTTTAGGAGCATAAAAACACAGGACTAGCCTGCAAGTAAGATTAAACACAAGGGGAACAGCTATAGGCCCACACTGCTGTGGAGAAGTAGTTTATGTTAAACATCTCCCTTATTTTCCTTCAAGCGCTCAAGACAGCTGGTGGTTCCAGCCAGACAGTACCTCCCAGGGGAAAAAGGACTAGATTTTACAGGAAACATGCAGGTATTACCTACCAAATGAATGGTTCAGCCCTCCTATCACTTGTGCTGTACACAGCTAAGCCTTATTCTGTCCTGAGAATGCTTCTAGGATCACTTTTTCAATTCCAAGAATAAGCTAGAAAAATCAGCCTTCCGGTTAAATCATGTTCCATTATATATCCTCATGGGTCACTGGAGCTCCTCTGCCATCTTTTACTCACACATCTTTAATGTAATGCAAATGATACCTCAAAAGCAAAATTGCATACATTCAGACTCCCATTCCTTAGATACTTAGTGTCCTCCTATTAAATCCTGAGTAGCGGTTAACTTGTACCTGCTCGCTTTGCATTCCACTGACTTCTCATCTAGCACACAAACAGCTAATCTCATTCGTTGTTTTCTAATCAGCATCATCCCTTTCTACAGAGGAAGACTGCCTCGTGCTCCCTGGTGCCAAACTGCTCCCCAAAACACTGCCATTATTAGCAGCGTCCCGAGATCCCTGATCAGGGCTGCCACTCACAGCCCAAGCAGCAGCCAACTGCAACTCACACCTGCCAGCACAGAGCGCACGCACAGACACCCAGGAAGGATTTCTACAGACAGCTACCAAAGGAGCCAAGTGCCACAAACCCCTGCCTGATGGAGCTCTGACAACAAGAAAGGAAAAGGTGACATTGTCTCTTCTCTTCAGGAGTTCACGTGGGGAGGGAAAGGGACTCACCCCTTCCGAGCCAGAAGACAAGAAGCAGGGAGCACCCTGCCTGCCTCTGCCCCTCTGCACCCCTGTGACAGGTGGTACGTTAATAAAAATGGGAGATAAAAATACCTGAAAACGCTATAAAGCAAAGTCTCCATTTATGAATGCAGGCAGGTTGGTTTCTAATCATCCACAATTAGAAAAACAAGAAATGCTGACCTGTTTCACTCCACAGCTGTAAATAAACAGAACTGAACTGGTTTCTATCCAGGACAGTGTGTGTGCAGTCCTTGGAGGGGTTCTCAGTTAACACTACAGGGGTTGTATTTTTAACTGGATAGAAGGGGGCAGGGAACTGGAATAATGCAGAGAAAGGAATGTGCAGTTAACAACTGCTTTGGAACATCCCTGATACCAGCTAGAAAAGCATTCCAAAGGAGCCACCCACCCAGCAGTGCATCTTCTGTCCTCGTTTACATGCACACTGGCACTAATGGGCCCATGAGAACAGGAAAAATCTGCTCCTGATTTGCAGCCCCTTGCAGAAATGGTTCAGGTGCCTTTCCTACCAGATTTCTGTGTCCCATTTCTGTAATGTGTGCAAGACGAGGAGCTCAGAACTGAGTAGTGCTGGCTGCAGAAGAGCTGAGAGTTGAAATGCCTGCCGTGTCAGTATTGTTCAGAAGCTTCCACACAGGACTGCTTGAACATAAAGTCACAGCACAAGTCATTTAAAAGGCACAAAGCATGACAAGCAGCGGAGGCAACATGTACGAATTTAAGGGACATCTGTAAGCTCTCTTCTGCTCTCTGGCACACGTCATTTGAAATGATTTTGGCAGGCACATTAAAAAAATCCACCCTCTCTATTGCAAATAAATTCAAACTCACTTCGGTTTTGCATAAGGAAAATCTATTCTGTACTACAAACCCCACAGTTCTTACAGGTTAAATACCACCTAAGTGTTCAAAGCCCTGTTTAGGCTGATGAAGGCAGACGGGCTTCCCAACTCATTACACAGCCATTATCTGATGTCCATGACAGTGCCAGAAAACCCGAAAGCAACATCATACAAGGTGCTGGAGTTTGTCTGGATGTTTTATTTTGTTTTTCCTGTTTTCTTTTTCAACATGCATTTGGCTGAAGGCTAATCCCAGACGGGTTCCTCTCTGCCAGTAAAAAATTGAGAAGAAACCAGTGCAAAACCAACAGCTGCAGTAACCCAGCTGCTGTGCTGAAAACTGAAGGTTTTTGAAAAGGTTGGACGTGAGCTACCACAACATAAAGCGCTCAGGCACACAGTGTTAGGACCAGGAGTTAAAGGACGCAAGTTTTCAGGATTTTTTATTTCAGGAGGAAGCTGAATTGAGAGTCTCAGTGTCTCACATCAACTTGGCATGTGCAGGACATAAGCTATCGCCCGGTCAAACTCTCTGTTCTCTTTCCCCTCCTCACCCAAGCATCATAGGAATGGGAAGATAGCATTGTCCTGGCAAGGAAATGTGAATCCTTCCATTCCTCACACAGTCATAAGTTGGTACAGGGTTCTGTGACAAGCTAATTACACGTGGGTAATGAAATCCAGCATATTTCTATGGATGTTAGCCTTGCAAGGCAATCTTGCACCTCAGAAATGGTGCTATCCCTTTTTACTGCTGGGGCAGTTCCACCAAGGCCCCTTCCAAACATACTTCAGAAAACTAACATTTTGTGGGGAATCGGTGTTTTGTTTCCCCCTGTAAACCAAACCATATCCCATTAAGACAGGTAAAAAAGCCCTTCAGCAGCAATTTCCTGGTTCCATATAAACAATTTTAACGTTACCACCACCCAAAGTTACACCTGATATGTGCACGTGCCTTCGCTTGCGACAAGGTGAGTGCATTAACATTTAAGACACAATTAATTTGTGCAATTTAAGTCAAACAAGTTGATCGGTTAATTTAAAAAACTGAAGCAGTTTGCAGAAGTAATGAGACAATCCAAGGCGTTCACAGATGGGTTACCTGTGAGACTGGTGCTTTAACATGGGGTGGAATTCCAGAGGAAGAAACAGTACCACTAGGAGGCAGGTTTTTACTGGTCACTGAAGCCCAAGAGAAAGCCTGCAGGAAATGCAACAAACCTAGGCTACTAATCATGGCAAACCACTGACATTCCTACAGGGAAACTCGTCTGCTGAAAATACACTTTTGGTTCACATCCGACTTTAAAATCATTGTTGTGCAAGCATTACAACGGAGCGACAGGAGGATGCGCGGTTCTAGCTGTCTGTGGACTTGGATGATGTGGAGCAAATGTGTACCTGCTACCTGAGTGAGCCCCGTTCCCTCAGCAATCCCAGATCACTGCTTTCCACCATGTAACCAAGCCTAGGACTGAAAACCCTGGAGTGGTAAGTGTCTTCTGCACGAAGAAAGACAGTGGATGCCAGAAGTTACCAGTGAAAATGCAAAAGAGAAAAAGAATTGGGAAAAACAGTACGGGAGACATGCTGGAGCTAGAAAATGACCTTGTCCAGCTTACACTGGCTCTCCCAACACTTCCAAACCTCCCAAGTGTTCCACAGCAGATGATGCACAGTGTGCACTGTGGTTTTTAAGATTAGGCACCTTGCCCCTAGAGGAGACAGTCAGTGCCCCCATTCTGATTTTGGCCCATTGTGTCAGCAATTTTGCACGTGTCAGTGTGTGATGCTTTTTTTTTCAAGGAAGAGCAGTGGTTCCCACCGTAGGAGATTTTTGGTGGCGGTAGCTCGAGGTGTTTTCTTAACATATGTTAAGTCCACATTTAAAAATGTCTACACATGCATAAAACCACACACACACACTTTACAAGCAGAGCATAAAATTTACAATAGGTGATGAACAGCACTTAGAAATAACATTTTTTTCCTTTTTTAGCGAAACTTCACATTTTTACACATTCAAGGTTCATGTCTAGCTGTTCATACAGCATGGCACTAAAGAGAGGGACCGGCACGGCCACTCAAAAAGGCAACGCTCAAATCTGTTTTACCATCTGCATCCAGTAGCACAGATGTGACTTTTAACTAACCTTTGGTGGTTCTTGTGGTAGTGAAACAGGCTCTACAGGAGGTGGAGACGGAGACTTCTCTTCTAGTTCCTCAAGGGTCTTTTCTTCTACTTCAGCTTTCAGCTCCTCAGTCTTTGTTTCAGATTCCAATTCTGGCTCAGGTTCATGAGATGATTCTTCCAGTGCCTCCTCTATCCCATTCCTACAATAATCAAATGCATCTGATGAGCTTTTCAACTGCTTTGTATTTTATGACTTTTTGTAAGCCATGCTGTGGTAACAACTGGTATTAAAAAGATCATTGATGCATTCAGCAGACATTGTCTAGTGATGCCATAACTGATTTTTTTTCACAAGGGAACCAGGAAGTCATTTCTGGCCCTTATGAAGCCATTCCTACGTGTCAAGAAAAGCACAATGGTTTGGTGGTGTTTGTTTGTGGGGGTTCTTTGTGTGTCTGGTTTTTGTAATAAAATGTATTTTTCTAATAAAATCATAATTCTTTTTCTTTAAATTTGTTCAGATTGAAGACACACAGGACAGAGACCTATTCTTCCAATACAACTGTACAGCAACTTATCCAAAAGTAGATCTCCCCCTCAGTTTCAAGTGATACCCAAATTTGAGGAGTAATACTCCTGCTCAGTGCAGGGGGGTTGGACTAGGTGACCTTTAAGAGGTCCTTCCAACTCCAACTATTCTGTGATTCTATGATGAACCACCCTTTGTCAACTCTTCACATGAACTACATCGTATCAGCTGTCTGTTCCAAGTCAGAATAACCACGATGCCATTAAGTGTGTACATACCTGTACAAGGGGTCGCTACCTTTTCACCCCTCTTTTGACACCAGAAGTGAAAATTACTAACAAACATAACACCCTCCATTTCCTCTCTCCAATAAAGAAGCAATGTTTCAAAATAATGTAACACTAACCTAACACACACTCCTGTATCAAGTGTGTTTTCCTGAACTACCTGTTAAATCATATCCAGGGTCCAAAGCCAAAGCAGTTTTGTCATTTTTATTAAAAAAGCAACATCATGTAATTAAAAAGGACTTCTTACGTGACAGGATGGTTTTCATAGTAAGTACTGCTTGCATTCTCTTGTACAGGTTCAGGTGATGGTTGTCTTTCCTCCTGCTCTTCTTCCACCTCTTCCTCAGACTCTGACACAAAACCAAAAACTTCCTTATACATTTCTGCAAGTTTACACAAGCTGCACTCAAATAAAAGCATATTAAAATAGTAGCAATCAAAATAAAGCTTCATCAACATGAAATAAGTAAAATTAGCTGCAAGAAAAGATGGAAGACCCTTCCTCTCATTCAAGAGATTTGGTTGCTTATGATTTTAACAAAAAGAATAAGCTGGAGACAGCTGTGCACACACGGTAGAGGAACACGAACCACACAGACTGTACTTGTACAGGCCTTCTCACCTTCGTCAAGTTCTCCTTCTGAATCCCCAAATACTTCATCTTCATATCTGAAGATATCATTATGGACATAGAACTTGTTTGGAACAGATCCCTGTAACAGAGCAACATGCAGTGTTTAGCACATACAGATTATCAGCACTCCACAAGACGGAGGGATGAGAGGTAAGCCGTGGGTACACACCAACATCTGGCAATAGGACTATGTCCCTACAGTTGTTTCCAAGCAGTACCTCTTCCCTAAGTACACGAGTGGGCAGTAACTTCTGCCCAACTGTGACACATGCAGTGACAGCCTCCAGACCAAGTTTTAAAGCCAGATGACCTCTTTTGTCCCAAGGTGACAAACAGTAGCTACAGGTCGGGTTTCCATCGTCACTATTTGAAATTTACCACAATCTCAGGCACACTTACTTCTGGAGCAAGCACAAAAGTCTGCATGAACTTCCTCATGGGCTGCCCATTGTTTGACAGCTCCCCCATGACCTGCACGACCACGCCGTCGCTCAGAGTGGCGTGAGCGTCCACGTGACGGATCTTGGTGTGGCACTCGCTGAATTGCAGGGACATCACCTTCTTGTGTATCTCCTAGAAATGCACACACACAATTCAGCTACAGGGAGTTTGCTACAGAGCTTTTGAATACCTTTGAAATACCTGAGCTGGAACTGACACAAAAAGGCACTCCCCTGAAGCTCAAAAGGTAAATGCAGGAACTAAGAAGTGTCTTTTACTGAGAAGAGTCTACCTGAGCTCATCTAACTTTTAATCTGAATTTCTCCACTAGGATTCAAATACTTCTCAGAGTAGTCAAATAGCATACAACTTGCTATCCGAGTTTTCCAGCTGCATTAAAACCAATGACATATTTCACGGTTTTCGTTTTTTAAAGGCCCGTGATAGGGACGGGATTTATCTTGTGGTAAAAAATAAAGAAAACACAAAAACACCCCAACAACAAAACCACCCCAAATCAACCCTCTATCCATTGTCGAAGTACCCAAATGTCACAGGAGGGGGGAACATCTGCACTGCAAAGATTTTTGTGCTGCTAAATAAGCCACACTGCTCAAACACGTGGCTGCCACGTGAACAGATGCCACTAGGTGACAGACATTACTGTGATAAAGAGGTACAACCAAAGCAACCCTCACTTCACTTCTTCAAAAAGTTATATTCCACTTGAACAAAACTGCACCCACAGAAAAATTCAATGCAATTCACAAAGATCAGTCCCTTTCCCAAGGAACCATTTCTAACCCAAATAAGATATATCAACAGCACAAGTCTATCAGGTCCCCTTGATTTTGTTTCCCATCCCAAATGTATTTTGTGCATCCCAGATGCAAAGCTGATGAATCAAACATGACCCTCAGTAAAAGCAGAAAGGAGCAAACAAAAAAAGCCAAGCTACCAAATTCCTAACTATCTCTGAACAGGAAGCAGTACCACAATACATTATTTACCAGATGAGAAAGTCAAAGCCACCGGTAAGGAAAAATCCTGATTTATTCTGAACATTAATGAGGACTACAGGACTGATTTTGATACTCACAGCTTGACCATACACTGCCTCTTGAGGTTTCCCACTGGCATCGAGTCCTCCATGCACATAAGAAGAATTCCTGCCATAAAACCTGCAAGTGAAGAGACATGAAAGTCACAGAAGTGAAGAAAAAAAAAAAAAAAAAAGGAACCAAATCCAACAAGTATTTTAGCCAAAAGTTGTAGAGCTCAATGCAACAGGAGTTTCAGAACAAACAGCAATTCAAGAGGCTCCAAGCATACAAACGTTGTATTCAGTATTCCCGTTTGCCCAAGGTAATGTAGCACACTCCTGTATCAACCCTTCACTTGCTTCCTTGAAGGAAGGTGGTCATTTTGGTTTGAAGGTTGCCAAGTCCAACTTTTGATTTGGATTTTTACTGCCAGTTTATAAAGCATGTGACAAATGCTTTCAGTAGAACAAAAAAGGGACAGCAGCGGCAGACACTGCAAGCACCCAGAAGGTATTTCATACCAGCAGTTCAAGAACTGGATATGATTCAACCAAACTAGACCAAAGCCTCTTGGACTCTTCTGTGCAGGGGTATTTGAGAAAAGCTCCACAGATGCTGTTAGTGATACTTGTGCCATCTTTCAAGTGGACAGAGGATATTCCTGAACACCAGGGGAGCTTGCTCAGGAGCTTGCTCCAGCCCCCCCAACCTCAGCAAGGATTTCTGGAATCTGTCCATGTTACCATTTTACCATCTGAGAATCAGCTCGCTTTTCCCCAGAGGAAACACCTTGATAGCATGCCATATGTCTGTCTGATCAGACTTGGTTCTAGAGCCTAAGGAATTTGCAGTAAGAGTTAGTCAGGTCCACTCCCTCCCATACTCAGAAATAATTGTATAACAAACAGCACAGACTCTTGTTCAAAGCATTAATCCCTTAGAGTGTGGCAGTGTCACCTGTGCAGGAAGTCAGGAGCTTTGTTCAGCAGGGTGTAGTACTGTCTCACGAACTCCCGCCCTACAAGCAGGGGACTTGGCTTCTCCATCACCATTTCTTTGGCACACAGTGTCAAACGCTGTAATCAAAAACATTCACCTTAGTTTGAAGATCACAACTTCCATACATCACAGCTTCCCCATAACAGGATGAACACAGAGATATTAGAATTGAAACAATTCTGTGAACGGAGACTTAATTCACTAGAAACTACCCACCAATTCAGGACACCCTCCCAACCCTCATTCGATTAAATAAAAAGATTTCAGTCAGTTCATGTATCACTTCGATGAGCAGGGAACCGTGGATGCAAAGTCCCTCACAGAACAGGTGCTTAAAAGAACCCAAACCTCAAACAACCAAGCAACAACCCTGTTAAAAACCTCTTGAGCCTCTGGGAATAAACCAATAAACATTTAAAAATCTGAGTTCCACAGTGCTGCAAAGCAAACAGGAATATCCTTTCTTAAGGCAGCTGGTACCATTCCTCCCTCTTAAAGCACATCTGCTTCAAAAGGTCACTGTCACATCTGTAACGTGAAGGCAGGAGCACCAATATTCTAAAGTAATTGTGTGGGCTGGATTCACATCCTCTGAAGACTGGGGAGGGAAACCCTCAGTCCTCAGAGACAACTGAAGTCTGAGGTACTATTTGTCCAACCAAACTGCATTTCACATTTGTCATACAATAATTGGAAATAGTTGGAAAGGACTTCTGTGGATCACCTGGTTCAACCTGCTATGCTTCTACCCATCCACACTGTCTTGCAGACCATCCCTGCCACAAAATGATCTTCAGTATCCTGGAATATATTTTGCTGGCTTGTCAGCAGCCAGCACATCGTTTTTTCCAGCTCACTTAAAACTGCCAGCGTCTCCAATCATGAAATACCCTCCAGTTCTCACACGGAAGCTTAATAGCTTAATCTGCTTTCCCTCTCAAAAACTAATGTGTAGGCAAGGCATCAGGCAAAAAAGACCAAGTCAAAACCCCAAGTTTCCAACTTCAGAGATAATCCTAGAAACAGATTTTTGTTTGCTCACCAAAGTAACCTTGACCCATCAATCTACGCTAAGGGTCAATACAAGGGACTGTTTGCAATTACAGTCAGACAGGACATAAAGCATTTGAAGTGAAATTGGGAGATTAACCTCAGCTCAAGAAGGACCTGTAATAAAGGTAAAACACACACAGGAGCAGTGCCACAACCATATCAGATCCTGTATCATAATGGAACTCAAAAGGAAAAAGCCCAAATATGCAGCTGAAATAGTTTACACGTACTAGACAGTCAAAATAATCTCAATCCAGCAATCCAAGACACAAGACAACACCAAAAGCTGTTCCCAAAGACAGTTATCCAGGATCCACACCTGAAATAACAATCTCACAATCTTGTAAGTAAGGCAGAAGGCAAGGCCTGAAACAGAAATCATGAACTTGGGGATAAAAAAAATCGGCAAGCTTACTTTAGGCTTATCCAAAATTGTCAATATAACCTTCCAAGACTCTGGAACACAGTATTAGTTGTGCCTTACAGGAAGCCCCAGGGGAAGTAATTGTGTTAATGAGACCCAAAATTAAATGTTAAGAATACTAAGGGACATCAAAGGTTTGAGCCCTGAGCGTGTTCAAATGGGGAACAAAGGAAAGACAACAAAATCTGAGCAATTTGAGGATCTTCCCAACATGACTCATACTACAGCAATGGCAGCACATAGGAATTTTAGTGAGAAACCAGCCTTAAAAGAACAAGGACATCTCACTTTCTACAGGTGAGACTATTCTTTTTTTTCATCCCCTGTCCCCCAAGCAGATGAAGAACACAAAATCGGTGACAGGATCTTCACCACCAGTCCTTGTGAAAACACACAAAAATGGGGCTTCGTCAGGTTTTTTTTAAAGAAGTTATTAAAAAGCAGATGATAGCCACCATACATGACTATGAACATAGCAATAAGCAAAGTACATTTGGTAACACATTGCTGGCATACCTCAAGGAACACTGAAAATGCCCCAAGGAACAAAACATAATAATCTGTGACAAGTCATTCCACTCCATGAGATCTGTATCACACTACATCTTTTCTTTACTGGAAGTTGTCCCATTTCCGGAAGGGCTGCCAAAACCTTTCAGAAAATCTGGAAGAGGCAGGTATGCAATGATCACACACAGCCAGTTCTTCCCTATGGACTTCAAACAGAAGTTGCTTAAGTGCTCACAGATGGGAGCACTGTGCCCCCTTCCATGTTTCCAGTGACAGTGCTATCAATTTACATCACACAGTCACAGTATTTTAAAGGGTGCCTCTACAGTTCCTCACCTGTCTCAGTATTATTTCATTCTCTCTTCAGAGATCTCAGTAGGGGTAGAAGAGGCTTAATGAACTGTTCAAAGTCTCCCAGGTCATTATAAGGCAGTAAAATAAAACAGCAGGTACTCCTTGATAGCAGCACGGGCACCATGAAAACAGGTTTCCAAAAGATTGAAATCTCCACATGTCCCAATTAGTAAAGAACCTCCTTAAAGTCAAGGAACTGAGTCTTAGCAGGCCCAAGGGGTTTTGAGGTAAAGGCACCAGTGAAATCGAAGTCAAACCTCAGGGCATCACCCTCAAGTTTACAGAGGCCAAACTTACAAAGAACTGTACCTTCACAACTTAGCAGGCACCAAGGGCAGCCCCATCAACACATATACTCTATAACTTCCTATTTTCTTCAGTACATACTCAAGCAAATATGAATAACAGCTAAAAAAGAAGATCCTGAGTGCTCTTCCCACTTGAATGAAACAAGCTACATTCTTAGATCAGCCTGAGCAGCCACTGGGAAAGTGTCTTAATGAGAACTTAGGGCTCAAGGCACTCATGTACACACTGCCCAGAAACAAAATACTGAAACTGGAATGGGCAATCGCCAGAAATCAAACACATTTATCTGCTTGTTTCTTTATAGTGCAACTGTAGTGTCCAAAAATCCCTCCCCCATGCACATGACTAGATAAGCCACACGCACAGAGTAACACAACCAGCCCTGCAATTGCTGCCCATCCACAGGTAATCCTGCCCATGTCGGGCTGCCATAATTCACTGACAGATGTCATTTCCACCCTTTCAGTACTTCTGGTTCCTGTGCTGCCAGGAAGGCACAGAGGATTTGCAGTGTGTTCTTGATCTAAGGAGAACCAGCAGCCACAGGACAGATCTTGCAATAAACTGGCAAGCTGGACGACTAAATGAAACACGCAATCTCCCTCAGCCCTAAACAAAACTCAGAGGTGAGGAACCCAAGGGACCCAACTCAAAAACTGAAGGAGCACGCACTTGTGCCAGTGCAATACTGCCTGCAACTTCGATAGGTGTGACACAGGTTCAGAACAACAACTTTACAGGTGGGATTTCTTTCAAGAGAACAAAAACAATGGGAGAACTGGCACGGACAGGAATTATTTGTTATTTGCAGGCAAAGCTAAGCAAATGAACAAAAGCAGAAAGGATGTTTTCCTCCAAAGAGCAACTGCAGGGTAGTGCTGAGATTTATTTAACATCTTTGGATGGCTGTGACAAATAAAGCACAAAGTCAGCCCTTGCAAGGAGATGAAACTGCTGTGGGCTGAAGGGATGACACAGGGCTCACTCAAATTAGGATCGCTGTGCTGAGGCATGAGAGAATCAACTGCTGCAATAATCTCTCCTGTCCGCGCTGAGGTGAGAGCATGAAAATTCATTCAGCCTGTAATCATCTTTACACACAGAACTTTATTAAGCCGTGCTTGTTCCTACAACTAAATAAAAAACCCAGCCAAACCCCAAAGCCCAGCTCCTGAGCCCTTAGTTTGCAGAGGGGGGCAGCAGCAGTTCTGAAGCCCTGCAGAGGGCTGGGCCCTGAGCAGTCAGCGTGCCCTGGCGCGCACTGTGCTCAGTAAGCAGCTGGCGCACTGGAGAAGCCTCTACCCCTATAGCACACACAAGCATCGCCGCTGTTCTTTCCCCTGGCCAGAGAAAGAAGAAACGTGACCAAGTCTCTGTGGCAAGGCACCGTTACCTGAGGCAATGACTAAGCTACTGAATGGTGCCTACGTGCTCATTAGGTATCCAGAGAATAAACTTGGGCACTAAGTCTTGGGTTGTGCCCAAAGAGGTAGTTCAAAACCACTTCCATCCTGTTTCAAGACAGACCAACAACAGTGATGCTGAAAGTCTGAACCGAGTTCTGACAGCAGCTCAAGAAAGTGCCACCTGAAGCTGAAGGTAACCTCCGTCGAGACAAACTTCTAAGCTTTGTGAGAGAGATGTGGGCCCCACCGCTCGTTTTAATAACGAACTATAAACAAGTAGAGTGTCTTGTTTTATTAACAAGCAAATTTTACCCTCTGAACTGTTCATCCATAGCATTTGTCCATAACTAAAGCATACAGACATCAAGCTATACTTTTACATAAATCTGCAACAGCGTGGCTCCTGTCCAAGCTACTGATCAGATCTGAATTTAGCGTTTAACTGAAAAAAAAAATTGGGTAAAATGTTCTTGCAAATCAGAAAGTTGCTCCCCACACCATAAGCACACTCAGCAAAGCCACAAGAGACACCGTGTCACTTCCCATACCACAGGAGCTCAGGGAAAACAGAAGGGAAGGGGAGAGCAGCTCCATCTTGGACAGGTTTCTCTTGAATTCAGATTACCACTTGTAAACCGTGTTTCCTACTGCAGACAAGCCATTAACACTTTACAGAGTGTGTTTGCTCCTGCAGCCCATAGGCGTGACCGAGATCCCACCACTGTCACACATCGTGTGAGCAGCCACACCCTGAATAAAGGTAAAAGTCCAACGGGCAGCTGACTGTCCAGCTGGCATCTGAGTACAGCCCTGTAGAGACTGGCAGGTACCCCATGGAAAAGTAAAGTTAGCATCAGCTGCCAGGAAAAGAATTCAGAAAGAGCAATCAGAAGTTTCCAACAGCCCATTTCAGTACTGAAACCACCTTCCCTCTGTCATGGCCTGCAAGGTAAGATCATCCTCCACCTGCAGTAAGGCCCGGCAGAGCTGAGTGATCTACCAGATTCCCTTTACTTTATGATCTCCTTTACCTAATCTGCTACCACCTGAGCTGGCTGAGCCCCAAGGCACAGTGTGCAGCTCTTTCAAATCATGCTGATCTGCAAGGTTGGTTTGGTTTTGGTTTGTGGTGGGGTTTTTTGGGAGGAGTTTAACAGCGCCCTGTATTTTAGGCCCACAACTACCATAGGGGACCAGCTTCTGGGCAGTTCAGCTGTGCCACCCAAAAGGGCCAATACCCACCCGAACTGCAGCAAGAGCAGTGACCTGTTCTGGGGAAGCCATTCTACCCCTATGTATGTCATCATCCAACACCAAATGCAGTGCCCTTCTTCTAGTATCTCATCAGATACATCTATTAGTTTGACATATTCATCTTTTCACATGTTATTTGAGTCGCAGTGCAGTTCATTTGTCAAACACTCTCAATAGCAATGATATCCAGTACCACAACTGCTACAGTAGAAGGAAGACTCAAATCCAACACCGTGTTTAAGGCACTGCGTTTCCTCAGCACATTTCCAGTGCTGTGAAATAATCCTAAGTGTGACAGTAGAGGCCTAATTTGAAACCTTGGTTCCATGAAAGAAAACATGTTATTCCCACGGGTACCAGCAGCCAAGCAGATGGATGGCCTGCTCACTTGGTTTTCTCTTCAGTTTAAGCCAGTTTTCACAGAAAAGATGTCACAATGGACTCAGAAAGTCTCCTTAATGATAAATCAACTCCGGGAGCTAAAGCAACACCGGTTTGTCAGCAACCACAACTTCTCAGCTCAGAATCCAAGTTGACAAATCCTGCAATGCTACAGTAACAGACATAATACCTCAAGAAACCTGAGTATGGACAGATGTAAGTTACCCTATTTCTCAACAGCTCAAAAGTACCTTGGGTATCTTTACACTGCTTTCTGTACTGAAGCAGAACATTTGCACACTGAACTTGAAGTATGCAGAACATATAGAGGGCTTGGGAACTGCCAAACCAGCATGGAAGGCTACAATAACAAAATCTATATGAATGACTAAGTCTTTCTAGTCGAAATCAAACAATAATCTCATATGCTGTTGTTCTCTCCTATGATAGTTCTTTCATGTAGTGGTGCTCGGCACCAAGCTCAAGACCCAGGTTCACCCAGCTATCCAAGGGATTTAAAAGCTTTGTTGTGGATATGCTTCTGGGTACCCACACTGCAACTGCAGTGACCTCTGAGGGGAAGGGGGACAAAAGCCTGAGAACACACTGAGCTCAGCTCAGGTGACAAATGAGAGCAGCTCGGACAACATCTACTCAAGGCATCCAGCTCTGCAGAATAAAACGTGCTCGAACAATTTCTGCCATATTACTCTGTGTGAAAACAGAGTGGTCCCGGTTATGAGTGGGGAAAGGGGGAGCGGAGAAGGGTGAGGTCTGCAGAGCTGGAGGAGGCCTCAGAGCCGGCGCTGCCATGGCAGTCCTAACTTGCAGGAGAGCAGAGGGCCCGCCGAGCCGAGCTCGAGAAGCTAAGGCTGGCTCTGCAGTCCGAGCGAAACGGGCGGAGCGGCCCGCTGTCCGCGCCAAAGCCCACATACCTGCACGGCGATCGATCCCCGCGGCGACCCGGGAGAGGGCCGGCTGGGCCCAGCGCCGCAGCCCGCATCGAGCACCGCGGGCTTGGGGGCGCCTTTCCCCGGCGTCCCCGCGCCGCCCGGGGCGAGGCGGAAGAGCCGCCAAGGTGACGGCGAACAAAAGCCGCCACCCCCCAGCCCCGATCGGAACCGAGCCGGCGGGCGGGTCGTGCGGCGCAGGGCACGGCGGCGCTCCGGGTGCCGCTCCCTCAGCCCTCAGCCCCGAGCCCGCCGCTCCCCTCAGCGCGGCGCGCGCCGTTCCCGCCTCTCGCTCAGCCTCGCTCCCAAAGCTCCCTCAGCGCGGCGCGCGCCGCTCCCTCAGCGCGGCGGCCGTTCAACGGTCACCCCCGCCACACACACACCTCCCACAGCCCGCGGCGGGGCCTACCCCGCCCGCGATCCCTGCGCCCCTCACTCACCTCAGCGACAGAAATCTCGGGGCGCGGGGCCGGGGCGTGTTTCCCCGCACGCCGCCGGGAGCTGCTCGGTGCCGGGCGCGGCGAGGGTGTCGGTGCGGCAGCGCGTCCCGGGCGAGGGCAGCGCGGGGCGGGCGGGGCGCGGCGGTGGCAGCGATGTCACAGTCGGGCGGGGGAGGGCGCGCGTCCGCGGTCCCGTGCGTGCGTGCGCGCGCGCGCCTGCGCGGGGCGAGCGCGCGGGCGGGGCCGCGAGGGGCCGGGGTCGCGAGGGGGCGGAGGCTCCCCGCGGTGACGTCATCCTCTCGCGCGTATTTCCCGTGGGCGGAAAGCGGGGGCGTCCCGGAAGCAGCGGCAATGGCGGCGGGAGCGGCGGTAAGGAGGTAGCGGGCGCTCTGCTCTTTGCTCCTCGTTTGACTGCTCTCGTTCTGTTCTAGGTACGCGTCGGGGTCAAGGCACCGCTGTCCACCGTGGAGCGCGGCACGAGCTCGCCGGGAGTGTGTTGCCTGGGGAATTTGGCTGCTGACACCTCCCCGGCTCTGTACTGCCGGACCGGAGCTGCGTTTCGCTTGGACCGAGGTCTCCAGCCGCCTGCAGAGCGAGGGGTGCTGTCAGTGTTAGGATACCTTGCGGGTCCGTGCGGAGCTGTGCCCCCATCCGTAGCTCAGGTTGAAGTTTAGGGCTTCTTGCTGAAACAGGATTTTTCTGGAGTTACGGTGGCATATAAAATAAGCTAAGATTGGAGGTGAAATATCAAATAATTCTTTCCGAGGTGACAAAAGCTGCCCCTTGTAGTGTGTTGTATCTCCAAGAGGGTAGCTGGGGTGTGTCAAACATATCTTTTGCAAGTAACTCACTTACTTTCCTGTGGGCTGTATGTGTAAGTATGGAAATACTTAGAAATAAATGAATTTCTTTGGTGGAAAAACGTTGTTTGGTTGTTTGTTTGGTTTTTTTGTTTGTTTGTTTGTTTCTTGGTAAGGAGCAGACTCTCCTTATGCTTGACTTGAGTGTTCCAGGTGAGTTCTGGTGTGTGCACTGGGTCAGAAAGATGAATACCTTCAACCATCCCTGTTGGGAAGGGCGGGGGGGACTTCTTTTTAGCTCAGTGGTATCTGAAGCCCTTTGATTTAGGAGAGGAGCTTAAGTTTTCTTTGAGGAAAAAAAAACCAAAACAAACCATCACCTTATTTTGCTGCTACTGAACACTATAAGAGGAACTTAGGAATTTCCAGACTGGGCCAGTTGTGAGTGACCTGGCTCCAGATGCTCTGCTGGGAGGGGAAGTGAGAAGCGGAGCCAGGGATGCCCAGCGCAGGTTCGGTGTGAGGCGACTGCAGGCTGGAGTTGTCCTGCTGTGGCTCACACAGCAGCTGACCAGCTGTGGCTGCTGTAAAGCACCTGCTTACTTTGGTGACCAGACCTTGCCCAGCAAGATAAAAGCCCTCTGGGGCCATGTGCTGGGTGGTGTCTGTACAGGGGAAAAACAGGGGCAATGGAAAAGCAAAACGGGTCAACTGTGATGTTTGGGTGGGTCCTGAAGGGCTGGAGGTGCTCAGGCCTTCATCTCCTGATGCTACAATAAGTGCAGTTAGAAATGAAGGTAAGTGCCTGACAGAACCCTATTTTGTAATAACTGCTGTGGTATTTCATCTTTTTACACCTAACACATTGATTTTTGGTGCCTGAGATGGAGGAGGAAGCTATTAATTGTAGAATATAGAAAGAGTAAATGTTTGCTTTCAGTTACATGTTTCAAAGTAAAGTATTGACTTTGTTCTCTAGTTGGGAAAAACCAAATCCTTGAAGATCCAAATTTAAATTGTGCTGTGAGAGGGGTTTTCTCCCTGGAATGACACGAACCAATTTTAGGAACTGACTATCGTAATTGGAGCTTTCTGTGCTCGTTTGCTGTATTTGGAAATAAAACTGCTTTAACTATATATGTAGAATAAAGCAAACACTGCCAAATCCTACCAGTAACCATCAGGAGGGCAGCATCAGACAGGGAGCTGGTGTGCAGATGCAGTGCTTGAAGGGTTTGGAGTGATGGTCCTTGGCTGCTGCTCTTCAGCAGGAATCCAGGAAGTGCTGTGGTAGTGTCCAGTGTGGGGAAATTCAGCGTCTGAAAGAAATTCAACTACTTGGTGCCCTTCCCTTGGACCGAGCCATCGGTGTTATTGGGGTAAGTTTCTGTTTATCTCTAAGGTGAGTGAGTCTCAAAAACACAATAGTGCTTTTCTACATGTAGTTAAAATAAAGAAGTGCTAGCTACTCTTAAGACGAATTTCTGAATTGCAAGTCTTGGGGTTATTCTGGGTGCACAGACCTCTGAGAAGCCTCGGGGAACTGGATTACAGGGACGTGCTGGGTTTGTTTTTCAGACAGGTTAATGCCCCCAGCACCTGCCCACATCTGTCTGTCCCTGGGCGCCAGTACATCACAAAACGTTCTGCGAGCTGACCCTGCTGTTCACACCCCTTTGGGATTTTTTTCTTTTTTCCCCCTAACTAGAAATGCAGGTCAAGCCGTGGATGCCGAGCGAGGCCGGGAAGTGCGCTAAGGGCTGGGATCTCTCCTGGAGCGCGGAGGTGCCGGTAGGGCCGGGTTGCCCGCTGTTCCCGGAGCGTGTCCCCGCTGTCCCGCCCCGCCCCGCCCTTGCCGCGTCGGCGCCACGTGGCAGCGCAGGCGCGGCGGCGCTTCCGCGGGGGTCGGTGGCGGAGCGGGAGCGGCCGGGCCGGGCCGGGCCGAGCCGCCATGAACTTCTTGCGGGGCGTCATGGGCGGCCCCAGCGCCGGCCCGCAACCCTCGGGCGCCGACACGGTGAGCGGGCTCGCTGGGGGGCCGGGCAGACCCGCGGGGCCGCGCCGGCCTTGCCGGTGCCGGCCCCGCTGCCAGGCCCGGGATGTGCCCGGGGCCGCGGGGTGGGAAGGGGGCAGCTCTCCCGTGCGGTGCCGGAGCCCGGGCCGGGTGTCGGGAGCCCGTCCCGCGGTCCTGCCCTGCCACTGTAGCCCGGGTGTTACGTACCTTTCCAGATCCAGAAGCTCTGCGACCGGGTGGCTTCGTCCACGTTGCTGGATGACCGGAGGGACGCCGTTCGTGCTCTCAAGTCGTTATCCAAGGTAACTGCCAACTTCCCGAGGAGCCGCGTGGATTTGACGTGCCTTTGACATGTACTACTAAAAAAGCCTTGTTTGGTGTTCGTGCTTCGACCGCTGACAACTCTGTTTTTCTCCGAACAGAAATACCGGTTGGAAGTCGGCATACAGGCCATGGAACACCTCATCCATGTTCTCCAGACAGACCGGTGAGTGCTGCAGCCTCCTCTGGCTAGTGACGTGACCCTTTTCTGCTGAAACAACTAATACGGACTCGGTGCTCTGGACTGACAAGGCGTGGAAGTGTTTCTAACAGTTCCTGTCACTGGCTTCTTGTGATGATTGTCTTTATCCGAGCATATTCAGAGGGGATAAGGACAGGATTCCAGGTCTTGGATGAGGGACAGAAACACCAGCTCAAGAGTGAAGGTAGTACCAAAGTGTCTTCATGCTTCTCGGTGGTTAGTTTTCAGTACTGTGGGAAGGCGAGACCAAAATGACAATGTTAATTAAATACACGTTTTGAAATAACCCAGATCAGCCTGTTATTGGGCAAAAGGTACAGTAGGCACAATTAAGAGGAAGTGAATGAAGTCAACAGGGGTGTGTTTGTGCTGCTGTGCTAGAAAATGAATTGGTAGAATGATTCAGGCACTGACACTGAGGGGTTCAGGTTAACAGGAGAGCAGGATTCCAGGGCTGCTGCTGTGACAGATGACATTAGTCTGAATGCTCTGGGTGGCCCAGTTTGTAGTACTTGTGCAGTCCAGTGTTTGAAATAGGTTATCTATCTCTGCAGCTGATTGCATGGCCGTACTTGATAGTACGCATGGGTTGTAACATGGAACCTGTTTGCAGTGCTCGGACTGGGACAGTCTTTCCATCGGGGTTTGAACCATTAAACTGATAAACTGATATGAAACAGCCTTAAGGTCTTACATGGAATACCTGGCTGTGCATACATGGGAAGGACAAGTGTGTGTCTCTTGATGCCCAGACAAAGGACAGGTAGGGAAGCAGCAGTTGTGTGTCTGGAAGGAGGCCTCTTGCTCTAGTTATGGATGTAGGACATGAAACCCTTCAGCGCTCAACCCGAGGCTGCTGGTTGAGGCCTTCCTTGCCCAGCCAGTTATGCCAGCTGGGAAGAAGGTGTGGGGCTGCTGTCTAGGTGAGTCCATGCTATTCCTATTGCACTGCCTGGCTAATTGAAGTTGAATGTCTGACCTGGTGCAAACAGTGAAAGGGAAGGTTAGAGGAGTAACTGTCACTGATATGATGGGGAAACCCTTCAGAAAAACTAGGTTGAGGAGCCTTGCTTTCATCCACTTCTCTGCTCCTGAGGGCAGACCTGAACTTGGAGAAAGGAGGTGGGGCTTTACCCATCTCCTACCTGAGATGCCAAACCAAGCCCCTCAGGGCAGGGCCTTGGGGCTTTTCTATGCTTTTTGGCCTCTAGCTGATCCTTGGGAATTTGAGTATCCTGGGCCCCTGCAAATGTTTTCTGTGACTCAGACTGCAGCTCAAAAAAAACATTAAATACATGTTTGTTTGGGGTTTTCAGCTGCAGAAATGCTGTGTGCCACAAGATGTTGGTAAATTGATTTACTGTTGGCGGCATGTCAGCCGGCCCAGCGTTGTGTGCCCTGGCGTACTCGACAGAGCGTTGCAGGCCCTGTGTCTGACCAGCGCTAAAGGGGCTGGAGTGCTTTGTTTGCTGTCAGTGATGGTAGAGGTGAGGGGTTTGGGATTATTTCAACACGGGTCCAAGCCAGCTCATCTGAATAACTGGTTAAGTGACTCCCAGGCTCACTGTCCCCGTGCCCAGTGTGACAGGCATATTGAACTGAGGCAGGTTGGCTGACAGAGGGCAGTGCTGTGGTTGCTGTTTTGGTGTGTGACCTTTGCACCTCTCTAGTGTCCACCTGAGGCACCCTAAAGCTTTACGCAGCAGTAGAAAATGCTCTTTTCCGCCTCTTGTTCACTTGCTTTGCAGTGCAACTGCTTAGGATGAGAAAAGAGAAGTCAATGACTGACTCGAGG